TATCGTCAGAAGGCTGGTGTCCACGAAAGGATAGCAGAGAGAATGCGGGACTTAGGCCACAATAGCATAACATCGGCAATTGTTGTGACAAAGTTGAAAAATCTAAGAGCAGACCACAAGGCTGTCAGACGTTTTTATTCGTGGGACGGGCAAGAGGTTGGCCAATGTAATAAGGGATGACCCGAAATCGGCATGCCCACACTACCACGCGCTAAACAAAATACTTGGGGGAAAACCCAGTGTAAACCCTCCAGCTGGACTCCTCGGCCAGTCTAATCAACCGCTGAGACCTAGGCCTAGCTTACGCCTATAGGCCTAGTCTCGATCTAGCATACAGTAAACTTGTCGCGCGAAAATCAACAGTTACCCACCATGCGATTGTACTTCCTGTCTAATGATGTGTTTTCCAAATTTCTGGTAGTCAAAATATCTCGCTCTAACCTTAACGTCGAACGCGATTACTGAATTCAATCCAATGAACTTGGCAAGTAGATCAGCTACTTCATCTGGCTATAATCCCATATGAACCTAGCTCATGACTTTGGTACAGTCAGTATTTCAGTTTTTATTGGCACTCACTTTCAGATCAGTGGCACACACCTAGCAAGGTGGTGCATCCATAAGATATACGAAAATTGAACAAAATGTAAAACGATCTTAAAATTATAGAGGAAAGGATTAAAATAAACCAACTTAATTGAGGTGTTAAAGTCAGACTCTGGAGGGAAAATTTTTTTGATATGTTGTAGATCTGATATTTTTAAGACAGAAAAGAAGTTGTTTGACGAAGAACTGAGGAACGGGGAATGAGATACAGATTTTTGAATATTTAAAAAACTGGGGGAAAAAGGTGTAAAATTGGGCGGTTACGCCCCCTCCCCCCCCCCCCAGTTTCTACAACATATCCAAATTTTGTTTTCCTCCGAAGCCTGACTTTAAAGTATAAAAAAAAGTAAAAAAAAAAAAACATATATAAATATAAAATTAAACAATAAGCTTAACATTAAATATTAAAGAAAATTTTGTACAGTATCCATTAATAATATATGCAGTGTTATTATGGGACAGAGAAGTAATGACACAGTTTAAGTAACGTATACATTTTATAGGTTGCTAGATTCTTTACAGCAAGAAAGATACATGATAAAATGAATCAAAACAGCATCCCCTACCTACCACCCCAGTCAAGGTACAGTAATAAGTTATTTAAGATGACACATGATGCATCATGCACCTCAACTGGGTTTACAGCCCGTTAACCTCCACTGGAATTACATTTTCAGCCCTATTTAACGGCCAGATGATAACATAGTGTGCGGCATATACACAACAAACTAATTCTCAACTGGTCCAGGCCTACTGTTTATTGTTATGGATAGTCTTGGGCCTCTAAAACTACTTTTGATTTGTACCTTGTGTGTAACGGACTTGGTACAATGTGACTATGTATGATACCAGGAATTCATTTACTAATTACCGGTGTCAGCTACTGTAACTTGCACCCATGACAACTCACCCCCACTCCAACTTGTACTCACTTTGGCGATCCCAGGACCAAATTTAAACACGTCTCCATGTGTATTTGTACCTTTACTTTAGCGTAATAAGACAAAATCTAATATTAAATACATCTTACTATATATACTAATCCTACAATATACTACAAGTTCAATAAACAAAATCTAATTTTTTAAATAATTTTAATTTTGCATTAATTGCACTGAACTTAAGTGCTCATCTACGGCTCTGTCACCACCACTGTAATAGCGCCCCCACATTATAGTTTTGACGACAACGATCATGAATTTATAATCCATTCCTGGCTGTATCAAAATCTTCTAATTAGTAAGTTTAACTTTAATAATATAGTTATAATTACTATCAGTATCAAAATAGATAGTATTTTTTTACATAATGTTTAAAATACAAATTCAGATCTTGCACTAAATTTGAGTGGGTACAAGATAGCCAAAATTATGTATGAGTTAGCCAAAAATTGGGTACGAGTTGTGGGTATGAGTTGGCATGGGTACGAGTTAGCCTGTATTCATAATTACCGTACTAGCGGAACTACAAATCACTCTTCTCAGATTAAAAAGCTTGTGAAGCAGTAAGGGTGGGGTAATGTTTATTTTTAAATTTCCTGATATTTAGTGCTCTTTGCTCTATGGTAGGCACCACACGATGCGTGACGTCACGCACTTCAATTAGTGTCATTAGCCAAGTTCAGCCAAGCGTGTTTTTGTCAACAAAGGCCTTAAGATAATATTCATATAAAATGCTTTTTGATTGGTTGAGACGTTTTCATTAGGTCAATCAGGTCACTCAGGGGTCGAAGTAGTACACCAGTACACCAACTTTTATCGAAGTTATCAACTTTTGAAAATTTCATTAAAATTCGTTGTTTTATCCAGAGAACTGCGAGTAATAAAGTTCAATTTTTTAATAACGAAGATTAGTTTCTAAGAGTTTATTTGCCAAATATGAATGTAATACGAGGCGTATCAATATTTTTTTTTGGCACCGCAAAACTGACGATCAGCTGTTAATCGGCCACCGTGTACACGAGGTAAACCATAAAGATCTTAACGAAAGTGCTGCATATAAACGGCAATATTTTTCATGTAAATAAAATAAATGAGTTCAAAAAGTTAACTAAATGATACTTAAAGTATTAAAATATACTTTTAGCTAATGATTATTTAAAACAATAGTTAAATATTTAAGGATTGAAGTGGATATTAACCATAGATGATTTTGAGAGAATTGTGAGATGTTTAATTCTATTTTCAGAATTGTGGGTCAAAGGTCATCTGAAAAAATTTATAAATTTTCGGGTCGTTGTGTATTAAGGCTACATGACCAATGTAATTTGCAGTAAAAATTTACAATCAAATGTACACTATTTTTTAGCATTTACAAAAATTAACAGAAATATATGGCAAAAAGTGACAGAAATATTATTGTTAACATGCAACTTGCTATTCACGCGCTCATACTGTAAACTTCAAATGTTTATAAAACCTTAACCAGTGGCTCAATTTTCCTCAAATTAAGTTTTTTATGATACTGGGAATATTAGTTTTTTGTGCTATTTTTTTTTTTTTTTTAATATTCAACTTTGTATTTATCATGTAGTATCTATCTATGGTTTGTGAATTTGTGAATTTGAATGGAAGAAAAAAATCAAGTAAATTCAAGGACAGCAGTCCAACTCCAGGATATGACAAGAACTATAAAGGACTACACTGTTCTCGAAAACATACTGTACATGATAGTTAATTTCACAATTCTTGTGTATTGTAAAATATTTCATTTGCGGAGTGTATACAAAATTTCCAGAAAATCAATTGTATGTGGACAGAATAGCTATTGCTAACAGCACCATATTTCTTGAATGTGTGATGGATACAGGCCTAAATTTTATGCGGAAATAATCCCAGGGCAGGCCCAGCCCTACATTTCAGTCAGGTCATAGAAGACACCAAACTTGTGCAATTCAGCTAGTGCTTCATAAACTATAAATCCCTCTAAACCAGGGGCTTAGCCAGAAAAATGAAATAGGGCGTCTAAAATGGAAGCCAGTGTGTATGGCCCTGAGCTGATGAGCGAGCCATGCCTACTCGAGGCCACGCCCAATCGTGCGAGTGTGTAAAAATGTTAATTTTTCACCCTGGTTAAAGTCCCCTGCCTCATTTATTTTCCGAAATGCATTGATGGATTCCTGAATCCTAGCCTAGGCCTAATTTATGGGCGGAAGACAGGATAGGCCTACATCACCTTGTACAGGCCTTACTCTACATGGATGAGGCCCTCCTATCTCAGCAATTAGGCACAGGGCTAGGGCCTAGACTAGCTAGGCCTATTCCATTATTTTTTGGCATAGGCCTAGGCCTAGATTTGTGTAACCTAACCAAAAGGGGCTAGGGCCTAGCCAGGCCTAGCAATACTACTGATACTGTAGCCTAGGCCTTGTGCTGTACAAGTGGTCCTGCCCTAGAGGCTAGGGCCTAGCTAGCCATGGAGGTAGCCTACAACAACAGTTTAATCTAAAGTAAAGTTACTCCAAGAAGTCCTAGGCTATAGTAGGCCTACGCTATTTATTCATGCCTGGCTAGGCTAGCCTGACATGAGGCATACACAATAAACACAAGTGATTGTAGACACAAACCTCGTCTGACAGCTTCTTCATAGGGTAGAACTGTCGCTTTTGATTCTTTATTTCCCATTGCTGATGTTAAATCAGTTCATAGTATCCCGTGTATTGGAACAAAATCCTCATAACATTTGTGGTGGTTACGACACATTATAATTCGTCGCCATTTTCTTCGGTTTTCTGATAAAAAAAATATAATCACATGAGATATGATATACATTAATGAGGGCGCTATTCTAGTATCCCTTTTCCTGGCAAAAAATAATCGTAATACAGTCTGAAACTGTCTGTGTCGTTATTACCAGGCAGCCTACTTTATACTTCAGTTAAATGCCAAATGAGACGATGGTTACTTTGAATCTGACTCCATAATATTATTACCACAGTCAATTCAAATTCACATCACCATCATTTTAGCAAACTGAAGTAAATTAGAAAATAATGAATAACACTGCCAGGAATAAGAACACATTCCAGACACCACCCAGTATTAGATAGATAACCTGATTTAGCACCTCACGGTATATTAAATAATTATATGTATTCTGATTAATAAAAAAAAAATGATTACATTATGTCATTCATTCAATTTGTATCTCCAAAACAGTCAATCTTTTCAACACTAAAGCTCCCATAATAACATTTCTATCGCTTAATAGGAATTGAACCCATATGCTGCTAAAAGCTCATGCACCGTAATTACGAAGTTAATTACTAATTTAGTTGGTTTTTGCAATGTATACCTTTAAATACAATTGAACTTCGTCTTAAGACGACCTCCAGGACCAAAAATTATGTTCCTACGGTTGTCCCTAAAGAACTCCAATGGGCCCTAAAAACTTGGAAAGGCCAGACTTTTTAAACAAATGTGGTGCCTATTTCTGGACCAAAACCAAGTAAAAACGCAATTGTTTGTACATTTCGTAACTATCTCAGTAACCACTACGATTGTATAGGTGCAACGGTTATTAGAGGCTAAATTTATTGTGAAAACAATGTACTGTACCGGTACGTTGTTAAAATCAGAAGCGTGTTAACTTATTAGGCCAATATTTTTACAAACTCAAAACTGCACAATTTCTTCTATAAACGATTTATTCCTTTTGTATGACCCGTACGTATATTAGTGTTTAATATTATAGGCCTACATAGATTACTGTTTTTCCTAATTTCAGAAAAT